AATATTGAATGATATCTCCTCTACAACGTGAGAAATGTTGGTTTTTGAAATGTTCCAGAGTTAAAGATATATGTATCTGTTTGTAAAAAAGAGGCGACAACTGACATCACCGAAACGAGAGATTACAGAGCTGAAAAATTTCTTATCTTGTGTGGCATGTGACAATATCTTGTTGAAACCAAATAGTGTCCAAGTCATACGACCATATTACTCCAAATTAACAGAGACAGCCTCGCCGTTGGCGTTTTCAAAGGGATAATGAGCATGAGTTGTTCTGGTTGTAATGACCTTTTTTAATTAGTTGAGGATTTTTAAACACCCGATTGTAACAATGTTATTCATTTATGTATTCCCCAAGTGAGAAATGCCCACCAACGCTGAAGAAAATTTTGTTCGGTTTACCATCTATGGGCTGGAATTTATATGGATATACATAGGTCCATTTACATAATGTGTCGGAAGGGGTGGACAAGTCGATTTTTGGTCTGCTTTCACTTACAGAAGCGATTTTTGTGATGAAACGATCACGATGACGCGCTGTCCTTACAACATCTGCATTCGATCCAGTCTCTTAAATTTCTATTTTTTAAATTGGCCAATTATTTGAGTAATTGGACAATAAAGTGCACCTCAATCTGGTCTTAAGAAAGGAAACGTCGCCACGTTTGAATAACCGTTTTGTGGTAAATCTAAACAATTTTACACGCGGCTCATTTGCTTATTGATTGACTTTTGACTAAAACCAAACATATTTGGTTTGACAGTCAAATTTGCGAGATGTCTTTTACTTTTGAAACCACGGAATGAATAACCCTATGTATGCATATTTTATTCTTCTAATTTTTGCCGAAAGAAACTCTGTTTTACCAAAGAGAAGTGAGTTCAAAAAATGCTGCCCAGCTTCCTTTACGCCAACATCATTCTGCAACTCTTTTACAAACATTTAAAGCAGCTTAATATTTTACATATAATCCGTTAACCGAAAAAAAAACATAAAATTTATGGAGCCATACAGAAAACTGTTGCAGTGCGAAAATAATTATTTAAATTCATAAAATTTCCTGCAATCAGTTTTATTCACTTTTGTTGTTTCTCCAAATACATATGTATGTAGGTGTGAAAAATTTTGTTGAATTTATTTATTTAAAGCATGAAACATATTTTTTTGTGGTCATAAATTTTAATTAAACTACGAAGTAGCTTCAAATGTATGTATGTATATATTTTATTTATTTATTACTTACAGGAATTTGTCTGCATTTAATTTTTAACAGCCACTCCATGCAGTGTTTGTATGTGTGCGTATTTAAAATTAATATGTGCCAGTGACTTTTATCGCTTTATCGCTAAAGTCACAATTTGTAAAGTATTAATTACCTTTCGATTATTTTTTCACATTTATATAGAGATTTATTGAATGGTTGATAAATCCATGTGAATTATTCATATTCGTTGATCTGGTACTCATTTTGCAAGTATTTATGGTATTTTATGCTTATGAAGCATTTAAATATGAAGGGCATTTTTAAGTTGCTTTTTGTTATTAATTTTTTTTTGTGGAAGAGCGAGTCACTTTAATACAGTCAGCAAAAAAAAAATATATAAAAGCTGATTTTTTAAGAGCTATAGGAAATATTTTCAAAAACACATAAAATTCAGCAGAATGCATGAAATCTTTATATAAATCGATAGTACGGTCCATATAATATAATGCTTGAAGATTATTTCATGCAAACGTTGACCGTGACTGGTTGTTAAGTCGCACGATCTAGGCGGCCAATTGACCGGTCCCGAACATGAAATCAAATGTTTACCGAACTCGCCTCTCAAGAAGTCCATTATTACGCGTGATTTGTGGCATGTGTCAACGTCTTGTTGAAACCCCATGTCATGTAAGTCTAGCTCTTGCATTTTGAGCAAAAAAAAGTTTGATATCATCTCAAGGTAACGCTCATCATTCACAGTTACGCTACGATTCGCATCATCTTTGAAGGAAGACGTTCCAATAATGCCCATAAACCGCACCAATCGCAGTAGTGAAAATGGGGAGTCCGGAGATGGTGAACCCGAAGAGCAATCGGTTCGATGACAGCATGCCCGACGATTTTAATAGAAGTACACTTTGACCAATCCATCAAAAAGGGGGACTCTACAATCTGCGCCAATTATCGTGGAATAAGTCTCCACAACATCGCATATAGTGTTTTATCAAGCGTATTGTGTGAAAGACTAAAGCCCAACGTCAACAAACTGATTGGACTTTATCAGTGTGGCTTCAGAACTGGTAAGTCAACCATTAATCAGATATTCACCAAGCGCCAAATCATGGAAAAGACCCGTGAAAAAAGAATTGAAACTCACCAACTATTCGTCGATTTTAAAGTCGCCTTCGACAGCACGAATAGGAACTGCCTTTATGCCGCTATGTTTGAATTTGGTAACCCCGCAAAACTTATTCGACTGTGCAAGCTGACGCTAGACAGCACCCGAAGTCAGAATTGGGAACGACCTCTCCGAGCCGTTCGATACCAAACGAGGTTTCAGACAGTTTGACTCCTTGTCGTGTGATTTTTTCAATTTGATGCTGGAGAAAATAATAAGAGCTGCAGAGCTGAATAGAAAAGGTACAATCTTCTATAAGAGTGTACAACTACTGGAGTACGCCGATGGTATTGACATTATCAGCCTCATCCACTGCGCCGTTAGTTCTGTTTTCTCCAGGCTTTGTACAGAAGCGAGGCGAATGGGTCTGGCAGTGAAAGACGAAATAACTCCAGTCATTAAACAAACAGTCACTGCATTTCCGACTTGGCATAACTTAGAAGTCGTAGATAATTTTGTCTATCTGTGAACCAGCATTAACACCAATAATAAAGTCAGCCTTGAAAGTCAGCACAGAATCACTCTGGCCAGCAGGTGCTACTTTGGACTGAGTGGGCAATATCGCTGACGATGGTACGGTGAGATGCATGAGTTATACGGCGAGATTCATACAGTTCAATGAACCAAGAAGCAACGGTTATGCTGGCTAGATAACGGGGTCCGGATGGATGCGAATACACCAGCTTTGAAAGTTTTCGATGCAGTACCCGCCGGTGTAAGCAGAGGAAGAGGAAGACCTACACTCCGTTGAAACGACCAGATTGAGAAGAACCTGGCTGTACTTCGTATTACCAATTGACGCCAAACATCAAAAAGAAGAAACGAATGGCGCAATGTTGTTAAACCGGCTAAAATCACGTTAGCGGTATCTACGCGAGTAAAGTAAGTATGTAAGTATTTTATTATGTTAATTATTGTTATTACTTTCTTTCAAGAGCCTGGTCAATACCAAAAAAGAAGAAATAAAAAAGGAAATCTTGAGCAAATAGCAAACCCAAGGGTAAACCAGGTCAATAACAAATGTCCAGATATGGAATTACAAGAAGTTCGGGCAGGTGGTTTGCAACGTCACAAGGATTCTATCTGGGTACGGATACTTTCGAATAAAAGGCTGAAACCAGATTATATCTACAACGTCGTCAAAGAATATCACGTCGACCACATACTTGTTAAATACTCAAGCTGAGCGTAGTAAACTTCCGCGGAATAATTAGTTTGCGGGTGAAAAAGAGCTGGAAAAAATTACCCGCGTCTGGAGGTTTTAATATATCAAGTAGTTTATGGTTTTTAGAGGTGAAAACAACCCCGAAATGAAAGAAGCAAGGCCTCTTTTAAAAATCATTTATAGAAATTGGTATATGAGACCATTTCGGGTCGTTGTTCAAGAATTTGATGTCAAATTTTCAAAATTCAAAAATTTAAAAAGTTACTAACTTTTTATAAAACTTTGTTTACAGGGTTTTTTGGAATCGCTGATTATGAATAAGATTGCAGATTTTTAAAGTTCAAAATGGCGACTAAAATATGGCATTCAAAATTTTTTCGCCCCTAAAAGCCGTAACCAACTTGATCTAGCAAAACGTCTATACACTGGTATTTTCTTTGGTCCTAGTCTCCGAAGACGCTTGATATTTTCGTGGGTCAAAAAAAAAAGTTGTAAAATATTTTCGAATTTAAGAAGAAAGGTTTTGACTCTTTTTGTGTATTATCAGCCCTTTGTGGGTTGATTTCAAGAAAAGACATTTATTTAAATTCATCTTGATGAAAAGTCCGTTTGGCCTAACGCAGTGATCCATGTTTTTTATCATATAATATTATAGTGAGCTCACGACATCATCCACAGGGAGTTTTACGATGATTCTAATAGAATTTTTTTCCGGTTTTACGACTTTTATTTTATTATAACCTTTAAACCTATTATTTTTGAGCTTATATAAGAGAAATAAAAGTCCTGGAATTGTTAGCTTAGAGAGGCTTTATTTTTCAATTATTTCAAATATCGGTTGCATGGGTCACAAAAAAAATATGTCTCCCTACATTGACATATACAAAGAGCCATCCAAGTTTCATATATTAAGGAAAATCAGTTCATCGAATGTTACCAGACACATTACTGGCAAGAAACGTTGTTTCAGATGCCAATTTAGGCTGAAAGCAAGCACTGCATCAAAATTCGTGTAGACCGAATTATTTAAAGTGATTTTTTCGAATTGGTGGACTCCAGGTTCCGCGTAGAAAAATATTTACTATACTTACGCCCAAAGCGACTTCTGTACCAAATTTTATGTAAACCAAGCGATAAACAAAAGTATTTCTAAGAGATCGGTCCTAACGTTTCCCGAAAGACCCATGTCAGCTTAAGCAAAGAGGATTGGAATTTCTTGAAAATCGATCGGTTTGAAAATAATTTGACTTATTTGATCTCTAGTTCACCGCCTAGAAAATTGTTTCATATCGAATGCCTACGTCATACGCAGAACACACTAAGGTTTCCTAACGCTACGATCAACAAGAACAGTTTTGGCTGTCCATCTGTTTTTCTGGACAAAGCCCTTCATATATATATAGATAATACAATATAATATATAAAAATTGACATACACGTTTTATTTTCTTACCTTATAGCCAGCTTTCAAGTCCAATTCATCGGAGTGACGCGCTTTGAAATTGTATAAAACGACATACAAATTCGTGGGCAATAAACGGTGAGACTTCTGTTTGAGGAAAATATTTAATACAAAATAAAAAAAAAATATTAGTATTTAAAAAATTAGTATTTGTTGTACATACACAATAAATTAAATAAGTATAATAATATTGTTTATAATATTTGCAAAGCATGTGCACATTTTATATATATTTGTGATTTTAATGAACAACATTCTTTTTTATTAAAAAATATCTAAAAAAAATTTTCATTAATGAAAATCTCTCATAAACTCAAAAATGAAATTTTTTAGTTTATTTCTGAACTTGGAAAATATGTAGTTTCTATTTTAAACAATTAAATTTGTAATATATATTTTTTAAGAAATATATCAATTTGTGTTATATACATAAGTCAGTATTGTTTATATAAAATGCATTGCGGATATTTACGTTGGGGTATAAAACTCAACAGTTGCAAGATTTTCAATATGATTTATTAAAAAAAAAAAAATCGAAAAATTACATAAAAAATTTGTTAATCTTCAATTTATTTGTAATTTAAGTTAAATCATTTCTCTTTGCCCTTTGTGAATACCGCACTTGGCACATAACCATCAATTTACCTACAAAAATAATTGGCAATCAACAAATAACGGAAGATAACAGCACTCACTGAACTAAAAACGAAATACCTGAAATTGCCTTACTGGTGAGGGACATGGTGAGGTGCTCGCCGACGACTGTGATTTCTCCATCTCATCCGGCAGATCGACGCTGCCGCCGCGCATGCCACGCGTGGCATAGAGTAATTTGCGGCCCTGATGTGAGGGGCTGGAAGGCGCTGTAAATGCACGTTTGAATGCTGCATTAAATTTGTTACAAATGGCGATGTGGTTGGTTTGGTGTGGGGGGGGGAGTGATAGGTGGCGTGTGAAAAGCGGAAGAGCGATGTTGGTGTGAGGACGGCGGTGTGAACGAACGGGCAGTGTGCGGTGGTAGTGTGGATGGTGTCAATGTTGGTGACGAATGTTGGCGTGGGCGTCAAGTGCAACAGCGCACATTTGCAGACATACAGATGAATGTGTTTGTGAGTACATTTCGTATGTACATATGTTTGTATTTAATTGTTGTTGTTGTTGTTTTATAATTGTTGCAAATGTTGATATGTGTAGGTATATTGAGCAGCAGAGTTGATTCGTATTTTGAGAATTGCCGTTGTATGTTTGTGTGTGTGTGTGAATATCGATGTTGTGAATTGTGCAGTCAGCAAAAGTTGCAGGAAAAGAGAAAAAGAGAGAGAGAGAGCAGAAAAAGAGAAATAATAAAAATAAAAAGCCCAAAATAGAAAACGAAAGGAATAAGAAAAAGCAAAAAAGTGGAAATAAATTAATTTTTTTTTTGAAAAATTTGTTTTTGTTGCTTGTTTTAAAGTGAAAATTATTTGATTTGAAAATCACTAATTGTTATACTAATAGCCAATTCTACTTCAAGTTGAAAATAAATTAGGTTTTTTCTTTTTTAAATATGCAGTGTATATACGAGTAGCTATGTATATGAAACAGCCATATATGTGTTTGTTTCCAAAAAAAAAAAAAAAAAATACAAAAACAAAATAAAATTCATTTATTTACAAATGAGCGATTTCAAATAAAATTTCGACGAAAAAATATTAAATATAATTGATAAATATATGTAACATTTGACAAAACTATTTGCTTTAACGTTTATTAAAAATAATATTGCTATTTTTTTGTTTGCTTCACAAAAGTAACAACAAAGCTTTATAAATTTTTATATTTGTATAAGTGATTATTTAACACAACAATTCAACAATTGAACGCTTAAATATTTTATGCATAATTTTACTATATATTGTATATATATATATAGTTTTTTCAAACAACTAATGCTTTCATAATCTCATATATATGTACGAATATGTATATATATTTTTTCAACAAACAAACTACATTCTGTACGAATTACTTGTAAACCGTTAACTATTTTAATGTTTATTAATAATTCCATATTATTCAACACAAATCTAACTATATTTGGTATAACAAAAAAATATATATTTACAGATTTTATGCCATATTAAATTGTGTGACATGAATTTTGCATGAAAAACAGCACAAGATGTATAAGTATGGGTTGTCTTTTGATTCGACCAATCTTTGGTATCACCTCAACTATTCAAATCAAACCAAATGCAAATTGATTCCATATATGGCAAGGCATTTTATGCGCTAATATTTTTCTATAAAATTATTGCTTTCCTTCGTATACGTCTTTTGCTTCATGCAGATGATATTGCTATTAATCTGATATTCTTCGATCAACTTTTTTATAAAAATATCTGGTGTACAAATTTACTTCCGCCGTTTTCGATAGGTGTCTGTACCCGCTGAGGCTGGTTGAAATACATGCCTTTAAAGTGAGTGTGGAAAGTGCCTAACGAATTGTCATCGCCGTTTCAGTGACAGTTGTTCTTGTTTTCGTATTATTTACGCTCGAAAATGTCCATTTATGTGCCTAATTCTCGCCATTTGCGGGAAGCTTTACTTTTCTGTTACAATTTGAAAAAGAAAAATGCAGCTGAAGCGCATCGAATGCTCTCAGAAACTCACGGTGATGCTGCTCTGAGTGAAAAAACGTGTCAGGAGTGGAAGGTGATTTCGATGTCGAAGACAAACATGATGGTTAAGATTTGTATTTGGTGGGATCAGCTCGGTGTGAGTTGCTACGAGATCTTAAAACCGGGTGAAACCATCACAGGAGATCGCTACCGAACGCAACTGATGCGCCTTAGTCGCGCGCTAAAAGAAAAGCGGCCACAATATCAAGAGCGACATGACAAAGTCATCCTTCATCACGACAATGCTCGGCCTCACGTCGCAAAAGTGGTCAAAAAGTACCTGAAAACGCTGAAATGGGAAGTCTTGCCCCACCCGCTGTATTGCCTAGATGTCGCCCCTTCTGACTTGCACCTTTTCCGTTCGATGGCACATGGCCTGGCAGATCAACATTTTCAATCCTTCGAAGAATTGGAAAAATGGATTGCGTCATGGATAGCGTCAAAAGAAGACTCCTTTTTTCGGGCCGGGACCCGAAAATTACCGGGACCCGGGAGAAAGTTGTCGCTAGTGAATGACAATATTTTGAATAATATATCTGTAAGCACTTTTTCGCAAACCAAAAGCTTTATTTTTGGAAAAAACGGCGGAGGCAAAGTTGTACAAGTAATAACTCTGTCACCTAAACAGAAATTATGAGGTTGAAGGTCCTTAATATGCAAATCCAATTAAATGTGTCAGAGTAAACCCGAAGGCGTGAGAATATATATTCGGCTATTGAATATCATTTATCGTGAGTATCAGATGGATGTAAAAGCAATGAAAAGCCGGACGAAGTGGCTTCCGCTAGTATCGTTAGCAGGCCTCTCACCCACGAATGCTTTAGTAAACTCAAAAACTTTCATTTGCCAGCGGACGCAAGAAAATTTTCATTATAGGGTATACCAATAAGCTACTGAGGGGAAAAATACTGCTGAATCATTATCATCCCTATAAACTAAATAAAGTCAAATTAGTAAAGTCAAAGTCTGCTCGAAAATTAAGGCTGGATGACTAATTTTAAAGGCTTAAGCCCTATGTCAGGCACTCGTGGGAGACAAAAAAAAAATTAAAAAAGTTCAATAAAAAGAAACTATAAAATACAACTTCCCTCTGGTTAGACCTTAACTGAAGCTCTCCCTTTTTGATCGCTGCTTTACATTATAATCGAAACATTTACATCGACAAATTGACATTTTGAAGTACACACTTCGCGGCGTCATGCTGATTGTACGAAAATCAGTACTTTTTCAGCGAAAAAATTTAAGTAGTTTGGGAAATTCCTTACGAGATATGTGTACAATATGTGGGCTCAGACACCACTAGAATCAGACTATCTTTTGGTCCAATTTTGGCCAGAAAAAAACATTAATTAATTATTTCGTGCAACGAAATAAGAACTAAGTAAAACTTTACACGAACTAAGTCACATAGTATTCGATATTTTTAGTTTCCTACACTGATTCAAACTTTCTTAGTTTTTTCCTTTTTTAATTGTTATTTTTATTATCTTCAATTTTTCCTCACACTTTTAATTTAAGTCTAAAAGATTTCATTGTGCTCTTATAGAAAATAATCGGTTTTTTGGTGTTATCAAGCTGCAAGCTTACTGCAAGTAAGTACGTTTTATTGTATGTAGTACGTGTATGTTACGAATATGTATGTATGCGTGTGAGTGTGAAACTACTTACAATGCAAACGGCTATTATTCGATGGCGGTGTACTATGCTCCAAATGTCCACCGGAACCGCCATGATAATATACACTGCCGCCGCCACCAACAACAGTTGTTGTACCAATGACTGGCTGTTGACGCCGACGCATTTGACCGTGCAGTTCCGTTGATTCCGGTGAGTCCAGGCTTAGGGATTTCATGCGTAAATTTAACTTTTGACGTCGTGGTGAATGTGGCGCTGTTCGGTGTTTGTTGTTTGTTGTTGTTCGCAAAAATTGTTTTTGTTTTTTTTTTTTCGGAAACGTAAAAAAAAGTATTTGCATATTTTGTTGTTGTTGTTGATGTTTTTTAGTTATTGTTGTTGGTGGGCGTTTCATTGGTCGATTGAAGATGAATGTGTCAGATTGATGATAAATTTAGTTGGTTGGTTTTTATTGTTGTTATTGTTGATGTTGTTGTTGTGGATAAAACAAACGTTAGCCATTCATTAGCGACGATGTGTTTGTTTGTTTGTTTGCATTTTTTTTTTGTATTTACGGATTTTTGCATATTTGGTTGATTTGGTTTATTTGTACAACATGGCGTATGATGAACATTTGATGATGAATTGATTTTGAATTTTTATTGATTGTTTTTGAACGTAAAAAATAGAGCAAGTTGAAGAGAAAAATGTTTTTGGAAAAAAAATGCATTAATTTATTATTGCTGCAACTATTTATCAAATTTTTGTATATATATATATATATGTATGTATATAACAATATATGTACAACTATAGAATAAACATAACTACAAATATAAATCTGATAGTTTTCAAAAAAAAAGTAAGCAATAAACATTCAGTGGACAAAATAATGGAAAAAATTTAATTCTCTTTTTTTTCAGTGTCACTATCAGTAGCAGAGATTAGTTGTGTGAGAACAAAAAAGCAACAACCACATGGTGTAGGTAAACATATATGTATGTATGTATATCTCTTGTTGTTTAGGTCTCAGTTCGTTTGTTAAGAAGCTTAAGGTTGTACAGAGTTGGGTTAAGATATTTCTAGTGATTTAGAGCTTTAAGCATTTGGACCAATCAGTGAGTGGTGATTTAGAGAGTTTCTGCAGCAAAAAGTGTTTTAAAGAAAAAGATTTCATAACTATATACTACTGATTTATATAGGAAGAAAAATCGTGCAAGAACAGTTAAATTTTATTTTATATCTAAACAAGTAGAACTCCATATAGTTGCTATGTGCATAACTCCGTTTAAGTTTATTGTGCTGTGCTTTCTACCAATATTTCGTGCAGCTACTGTACACATTTTATTGGACTCTAGAGTGCCATTTTTGTAGCATATTTACTACATACTAAGAACCGCAAGGAAATTATACATTTATTGCTGAATTAAACTGTATCACAAAACAAAAATATGTTTAAAAACCGAAATTCTGAAGAGAAATGATATTTTAAGTTAAGCGTATTAAGATGCTTCTTTTTTTTTTTTGCTAACAAACTTATTTAATTTAGTATCGGGAACCTTAAAATTTCTTTTTACCCATAAATATTCAGAAGTGATTCGCGGTGCTATCGATATCTAACTTAAAATTAAAAATTTTTTTACGAAATATCCCCTTTATATATGTGTTTGCTAATATAAAAATACAAAAAATATTTAATAAAAATAATATTACATTATAGACTGTGTTCTGTCAGCTAAAACTTTTTTGCAAATTTTTCGAATTTTTTAAAAATAATTCTTTTATATTTTCTTTTTCCTTATCACTTATTTGAGTTTCTTCTATTAAAATTTAGTTTAAGTAATTTAAAATTGTCTATCAAACAAGATGAGTTTTAAGTGGAAAAAATGTTTGCTCTCAATACTGCTTCTAGTATATTTTCAATATAATACTGCAATTATTTTGGTCACATAAATTATCAACCCTTAGTATTATAACTTAAATATATAGTATTAAAAAAAATATTATAAACGATATTCATTTTTGGTAATGTAGATTCCTTTAATCTTTTATATTACCAAAATAGCTGAGGTAAGGAATGAAATATTTGACAAAAAACTTTTTTTTTAATCTATTGTTTTGTAACTAATTACTAACATAATTGATATAACATTTATTATATATTATATACAATTGATCATGCACAATTGCTTATATTTTTTTTTTAAGGCAACTTCACGGAATCTTTATACTAAAAAGTTTCTTAATCTTGAAAAGATTGAAATTAATTTTTCGTCAATTAGAATTAAATTCTGGAAGCTGTTTGCTTGGCTAATAGGAAATTTTTTTAACTTGCGCAAATATTTAAATAAAATAGAAATAAAAAAATAAAAGGGAAAGCTAAATAAATTAATTTTTATACGAAACACTAACCTAAGAAAAAAAAATTTAAGTAAATATATAAAAATATATATAAATCAAAAGAAAATTAAATATAAAAAGGGATTATTAAATATAAAACAGTTTGTAAACACAGGAAAATAAACCAATAAAAAATAAAAATTTCAATAAACGTATACGTACAAGTGAGACATAAATAAATATATAATTACATTACATATCAAATAGATGAATATATAAATTAATGAGTGGCCTTAATTAATTTTAGAAAGAAAAGTTAATGGTGACAATTTTTTTTTAAATATTTACAATTTTAATTAAAATTTTAGCGTGGAAATATTTTAGCAAAAGATCTTCATATAGCCATGAAAATAGGACAGAAAATGTTGACTAAAGCTAGTTTTATTTCAGAATTTTAGTAAACAAAGAATACTTTAGCCGTAGTACATGTTTTTTCCATACCATTTTATGCTGTAAAAGTTTAATGATTTAAATGTTTCCACTACAAGCTCTAATTGACTTTTCAAGAAAGTAGTGAATCATCACTAGGTCTCTTAAACATAAATAAGTCAACATGGATAAGAAAGAATTAAAAAAACAGCTTAGAGTGCTATTTGAAATATCATAGCTTATTTACACTCATATGAAAAATATCAATGACATTTGTTTTATTTTTAATGGTGACAAATTTTATAAATATGCAATAAAGTATAATTTAATTTACATAAATTGAGGAAATTAAAAACTAAAATTAAACAATGCTCTTAAACTCTGGCGAGTAATATATAATATTTCTCAAATACACATGTAAAAATTGTTATATCAATATATATGTTGGTCACGGCGTATGAGTGATCTCTGAGTATATACGCGTAATGCATATAAAAAAAATAGGGAAATAGTATTATGAAAGGTTTTAGGTGCAAAACGTGTTTGCCCTTTCGATTGGGATCAATACAATAGGTGCTAGGTACATTTAAATAAAAACCCTTCATAAAGCAGGCTATTTAAAAAAATAATGCATAAAATCGATTGCATTTTTTTCGGAGAATAGGAGTATGTACGTGTATTTCCATATTATATACATAAATAATTAAACATATAAATAAAACAAAGAATTTTTATTTACAAGCACACATTCGCAAGATATATTTATTTTAACTTTAATTTATTTGCTTATTTTTTCTTTTTAAATCTGGTTTTTGCTCAAACAATAATACAATACAAATGCTAACATTTAATTAAGGTTTTTTCAATAGCTTAATATAAAACACAATTTATTGCAAATACTACATAATCTATTGTACTAAATAATTAACAAATATATATCAAGTAAATACATTGACATAATAAAATATTAATACGAGAAATACACATTTATTCGAAATCACGGTAAATAATAGTCATTCTGAAAATAATTTATGAAGGTTACAAAATTTACCGAAAATTAAAAAAGCACAGCGATACTATAAATCTCATTTAAATTATTGAGAGCAGAAAAACAATTTAATATTTTTCTATATAATTTTGAACTTAAGGTTCTACAAACAAAATAATACACGAAGAGAAACAAATATATGTGCAGATATAAAAATGAATTTGAAATTATATTTAATTTGCAAAAAAAAATATTATACTGCTAATTTATAAAGAAAATTTATTGATTTATATTTCATGAAAAAAATGTTTAATTTTATAATAAAAAAATTTCAGAAGTATATAAATATGCATTTAATTTAAAATAGTATAAATAAATTTTCAGCAGTACTCATTACATTGTACTTATTTATATTTTGGATGTTTTTCTCTCACATATGGGGGATTTTTTTTTTTGTTTTTTTTTTTTTGAGAAAAAATGGCATGATATCTGGCTACCGACTACTCCTTACCATACTTAAAGTATTTTCCAATTTGTAGCTGTTTTAGAAGAGAAAATACTTCACTTACTAAACACATGTCAGGCAGCTGAAGATGTAATCCTGACACTCTAACAATGCCTAAAAAGCAACTTGGAACTACCTAAAACAGACTGGATACACAAAGAAGCTCGATCTATGGATGCCACATAAACTAATGAGAAGAAAACCTCATGGATTGAATTTTCTTTCGCTGCTGATTTGTTACAAAATCCACACATTTATTTAACGCACGGTGACTGGCGATGAACAGTGGTTCACTTAAAGTCACATAAAATGAAGACGGCCGTGGTAAAAGAGCAATGAGCTGGCACCAAAATTCTCAAACCCAGTAAGAGTTTGTAGTATATTTGGTAAGATTGGCCAGCAAACTTCCAAAATCGATGGTCCTCTTAACTCGAATAAAAACAGACAGGAAGGAATAAATCACCGAGAAACACCCAGCTCTGGCTAACAGTTGTTGTGTTTCATCAGGACATCGTCAGAGCACGGTTCGCGTTCCTGGTCTGCTTTTTTTATGATGAATGATTTGGCTAATGAAGAATCAGCCTCAAGAGCGGGTTGTTAAAATTGTCACATTTTTTCGCCAGTAGAGATAAGAGTTTTCATGAGAGAAGCGTTCAAGGTATTACTTTCAAAATGGAAAAAATTGATCGAGCAAAACGGGTGCAATTCATTTAAATCGGATAATTATAAAGAAATGGATTTGAAAATAATGGATTGGGTTTCACTAATCAAAGACTGAATATATGAGGCTAAAAGTTAAAAAAAATACGAGGTCAAAATACATTTTTTTACTGTATACGATTTGATAATTTTTAGTAGTCAAAAATCTAGCCTCCAATTAGTTAGAAACCGATCGCTTTGTATCCAATGAGTTAGAAAATTAAACAGAAAACTGATGGAGTTCAAGGAAATAAGTCTATACATAACTATTAAGTAGTTACCGAACCAGTATCAAACTGGCTATAAACTGCCATC